TTCTTCAAGTGGAGGTTAGATAAGCATCTAGCTGGTATCATATGAACCCCGCGCTCTTTCCTGCTTATGCAGGGGGTCGGACTCGATGAACTATTGAGGTCCCTTCCGACCCTAACATCTATGAATCTATGCTATGTGGAAAGGCCCCTGCAATTCTTGGATGGCTGGAACAAACACCAGCTCCAGCTCTTTCTGACTAAAGCCCACCTCCAGAGCCTTCCTGCTGGCTGCTCAGAGCTCATCCCCTTGGTCAGCAGAGTCAAAGCCATCAGGGAAACACCTGGAGCACAGCTGGCCAAGGATTCCAAAGTGGTTCCTCCCACCTGTGGTCCAAGCTCTGTGCTTGGAAAAACAACCCACAGAGCATCTCCAGGCACTTGCGAGGGACCCTTTTTGTCACTAGCCTGTTGCAACTTCTGTGCTTCAGTTTTCCCAGTGCCATATGACAAGTAGCTGAGGAGAGATTAGGACTCAGGTTCTCCCAAGTCCCTGATGTAGCCTTGTATATGAGAGTAAGAATCACAGTAAGAACTGTGATTTGTATGGAGAATGGTTTTGAATCCCATCCTACACATATTTACCCCTTATTGCCTTCCCAGGCGTAATGAGATTGTAGCAGGTCCCAGGGCTTTCCTTAAACACAAGGAGGTGGACAAAGAGGTGTCGAGATCTCACTGCAGCACTGATTGGCACAGCTGGGCTATGTGTGAGACAAGCTAGTTCTGCTGGCATCAGCTGCCTGGGATAGGCCCGGGGGCGTACCCTTCCCTCTCCTACCTTGGCCATCAATGTCATTCTACAGTCTCCTTTACTGCAAGGCCAGGAGTTGCGGAGGAGTCAGTTCTGGCATTACTAAATGAAGGGACCTGGTTGGGGTTTTGGAGACCTGGCTGGGAACCTTGCTCACGCTTAGAAGCCACCTGGGAGTCCAGGCTTAACTAATCAGCCTGGCCTTTTGTCTCCTTGGTGTCAGTAGGAAGCACACAGCAAGGTCTCAACCACTCCATCTTTACAAAAACCTCACAGCACCTTCCTGCATCACTAAAGCCCTCTGAGCATGGTTGGGGTCTTGGAAGTACAGCTGGGGCAGCCTGTCTTTCTCTTAGCCCATGGATGGCTGCTTCTCCCACCCAAATGTCTGAGCAGCATGTGAGTTTAGCTCAGACCTCTCTCTATTCCCTGGGCTCATTTAAGATTGCTGTATTCATTTCCTGCCCTCTTGCGGGGACTCAGCCTTATTCTGATCTGGACTTGTGTTATAACAGAACACATGCTTCCAAAATTGCAGGCTGTGGAATGGCTAGGTGCAATGGCTTGTGTCTGCTGATCTTGGCTCTGGGATTTCTGCAGTCACCTGGAAGCAAGAGTGCATTGCCACAACTGGTCTTGACAGGGGTTTCTTTCCCTTATTCTACACTATGACTCTACCCCTAACCAAAAGGCATCTTGATGCAAGTGTTCCTTGGTCCAGCCATTCTGGCAGCATCCCTCCTTAGAAGCAATGCATGGCTACTTTGTGTTGATGTTGTGGCCATTTTCATGAATGCAAACATCCAATCCTTGTCTGAATCCTCATGAGCTCTTGGTACCATGAACCTCTTGTTGCGGTGAGTTTATCCTCTGGGGATCGGACGTCCTGTAACAGTCTGCTGATGGATTTCCCTATGCTTTCCTCTGGCTGCTGCTAGGTGGGGTGCTGGCCTAGACAAACTCTGGCTTTCTCCACTCTATGCTTGAATCAGGTGGGGTGGTGATTTGAGCCATATGCTGATGGTGGCATGGGTGACCTAGAACTGTAGCTGAGTCAGGCTGTCCCTTCCCTCCCTGATCAGGCGTGCCCTCCACCCCACTTGGCAGTCCTTTCTGGAGGCCTTGCTTGGCATCTGGGCCACAAGGAGGGAGTGATGAGAAGCAGCAGTGAGCATCTCTGCTCCTTTCCCTGTGGGGGAGGCCCTGCCATCCACCTAGCTAGCTGCCCTCTGCTCTCACTGTGCTCAGCTGCTCCTCTGGCAGGCAATGCTCAGCCATCAAGCAGCAGGGTTTAAGGAGCAACAAGGGTGGGGGCCTAGTTGCAGCTCTGTTCCTGCTCATGCTGCGACCCTGCTGGGAATAGAAGGTGCCAGTGAGGGCATAGCATGGCTCCCAACGTTGTGCAAGCTAGAAAAGCATGGCTGTTCCTGACATCGGTGCTGCTTGTTGTGCTGCTGACGTGGATGTGGAACTGCAGCAGCTGCCCCTCCCTCCTCCCCGCCAGCAGCTCCTGTTCAGTCTTGCTTAGGCTTTAAACTTTCCTTTGTGCACCTCCGCAATATCCTGCCTGGCCGGCACGGCTGCAACCTGAGCTAAAACTTAGGAGCTTGAGTAGCAAGCAGCACATGGCCATTGGAATCGCTTGCCAAGTTTTAACGGCTCTGCTGTGTCAGGAGAGCGCTCTGAATTCCTAGTTCTCCACCAAGTTGTTGATCTGCAGTCCTGCTACCCCACGTGGCCTCTTCCGGCCGAACAGGGCTGGAACTGCACTGGCTTGGGAAGTGCTCAGCTGCGTGAGGCTGTGCATTGAGTGTGTTCACTAAAATCTTGAAAGTCTGGCTCTTGGTGTGCAGTCCCAACTCCACCCCCAGCTGGGTAGGCAGCTGGTAGCAAGTGAATGAGTCCCTCTCCCCAAAGCAGAGGGCTGTCTGTGGGTCTGGCTTCTTGCAGTCTAGTCAAGCATTAGTGATGCACAGGAACTTGCCAACTTGGGAATGAAAGTTATTCTAAATGCTTGATGCTCCCTGCCCTTCTGGCAGCCCAGTGTCTCTGGTGTTTGAGGGCCAGGTTCTTGGGGCTTGAGGCTGGGTGGTTTGTTTGCAGGAAAAGGAGAAGCAGATCAGATGTTTTGCATGTTTATCTGTTTCCTGGTGTGAGCAGGTTCATGGTGCTCTGGGGGTTCTGATCCTGTGGTGTTCCTGAGCAATTTTGAAGCTGGGATTAAGGCTGCCCTTTCCCAAGAGTCTCCTTGTGTTGTGAGTGTGCATGTGTATCTGAGCTCTGGAGTCTGCTAGGTGTTTGTACTTCCAGTCTCTAGTGCAGATCAGCCAGGTAGTCTGCTCACTCATTTTGTGACTCGGTGCCGGATGCAGGAAGCAAGATTTACTGTAGCTGCCAAATGAAGTGTCCCTGCCTCCCACCTTCCAGGAATAAAGTGGGAGCAGCATAGAGGGACCTGGGGTATAGAGAGCAGGAGACTGCAAGTACTTAGCCTCAGGGAAGCGGTAGTGGCTGCATAGGGCAGGCAGAACAACCTTGTATTAGGGCAGGGAACTGCCCAACTCTGGGAGGATGGGCTAATGAGATTTGTTGTCATGTGCTTAGAGCAGGCTATGAAGCCAGCCCTGCAGTCCAGTAGCTTGTGCAAACTTGCGGACTTCAGAATTTGGGGGGCCTTTGACCCAAATCACGTGCTGGCACTGTAAAATCCTCTTGCATCAACAGTTCACTCTACTTCCATTGTGACACATCTGGAGTGGAGCTGCCACACTCCACCCAGAGGCACTGCTATTTGGGGGTAGTAAGTCCCAGGTGTGCCTGAGGGTTGAGGACCTCACTCCCTCCCCTGCTGTCGTGCTGCCACTCCTACCTTTGGTTGTCCCTGTTGCCCCCCCTTAGCTCTCATTGCTTGTCTCCCTTCTGCCTTTCAGATCCGGCTGCGCTGTCAGAAGGGGATCCCGCCTTCTCTGCGGGGCCGGGCATGGCAGTACCTCTCAGGAAGCAAGGTCAAGCTGGAGCAGAATATTAACAAGTTTGACGTAAGGCCCTCTTCTTTCTCCCTCCCCTTGTCTTGTTTCCCTCAGGGGCAGAAGAGCCTGGGTAAACTGCTTGGCTGTGGCTGCTGCTGCCAGTGCCAGGTGCAAGATGCCGCAAAGATTTGTCCAGGTGGAACAGCACTGGGCAGCCAGCAGCCCACACTGGCATGACCTGTAGTGGGCTCACCAAGGTCCTCTTGTCTCTGCATTATCTTCTGTCCCATGGGACCATGTCTTCCTATATAACCCTCTGAAGGATCCATGCACGTAGTGGCAGGATTCCTTTTCCCTCCTGAACCTTCATTGGGAGACTGGAATGGCTCAGCTTGTCTGCTGTCCCTGGTTGCTGTGTGGCTGAAACAAGGGCCTTGGGGTCCAGTCTCACTTGAGAGCTCCATTGCAGTGATTTCCCTGCATCTGATGCTGCCCTTCTCACATATGGGCGCTGATGAGTTTTTCCTACCCTCCTGTGACATCTGGGTGCGGGCTAGAGTCCTCCTTTCTGCTGCCCGAGTTCTCAGCATGCAAGGCTGATAGCTGCATCAAGCTAGCTTCTTTGGCTAAATGCACTTTCCATACCCTTTCCACATGGCTGGCTTTCCTGGGATTCCAGTCAGCTTGGCTACAGCCTTCCCACCTGCAGCATGACTGTCCTACCCTGTGGAACTAAATGCATGCACTGTCTTGGCACAGCATCAGAACTTGCAAGGCTTGCTCCTGAAACTGGTCAGGGAGCCCCTGCATATTACAGGCTTCCCCTGGGTTAACTCTAATGTCTAGTATTTGATGTCAGGGATGTAACTAGGGTCAGGCAACTACTACAGCTAGGCTAGAGTGACGGGAGCAATGGGATAGATACTAAACAATAGCATCTGTTCCTGACCAGAGAGCCAGCTGCCTCTTCCTGTAGCTTTTGGCAGACTTGCCAGATTCCCCCTGACCCCTATCACAAAAAGTTAACTCCTAAACTGAGGTTTGTAGTGCAGCCATTTGGGAGAAATCTTGCCTCTGAACTACAGTAGTATGGACCCCACCCATTCCTGTGTACCATCATAGCTTCCAAGTAGGGACTCAGCTGCTGCTGCCCTAAAACAGCAACAAGGATGTGCTCAGTTCCAGGCAGCTGGAAGGTAGGGAAGCTGGTGCTTTTTGTTTAACTATTTATTATAATGTTGACCCTAGTCCGATGTTGGGATGTTGTTTTGCTACATGCTATACCAGCAGATAGATGGATAGTCACTACCCTGAAGTGCTTAGTGCGACTAGGTAGCTCCCTAAAGAGCCCTAGTGCTTCACAAGTACCAACTAATAGCTGCAACTGTCTCACTGGCCCACGAGCAGGGGTTTACAAGTGTTTTGGAGATCTCCAGAGGCTGGATCTCATTGCTGCAAGATCTTTTAGCTCCCTCTTGCAGTAAACTGTTTCATTCTCTCCTCACCCCCTGCTCTGTGCCATGACTCCTTGTTGCCCGAGGAGCCAGGGAGGTGCTGATTAGGGCTGTGCGAGGCTTCAGACAGAGCTTCAGATCTGGAGAAGCTTTGGACACTTCGGGGTCTGAAGCAGCACACCCGGGTCGAAGCGCTGGCCTTGTTAGGCTTCCCAAAGTGGTTCGGAGCCGCCTCAGAGAAGTGGCCATAGGGTATAATGGGGAAACAATAAAATATCTATAACTTTGTTGTTTTTTGTCTGATTTGGATGACATTTTCAGGGATGGTATCATCTTCAGAAAGGATGAAGCCTGCCAAGTTTCAAGAAGAGTGGTGCAGGTGTTTGGGGAGAACAGCACCCCAAATTCTTGAAAGCAAAACTCTCATGTCACGTCTAGACATTACAACATAGCGGGGTGAGAACTGCAGGGCTGGTAGCTCTTACCGAGGCCACAAAGCCTGCCAAGTTTCAAGGAGATCGGTGCAGGGGTTTGGGGGGAACTGCACCTCAAGCTGCAGACAAGCAAAACTCGTGCCATGGGTGCTTGTGGGACTGACTTTCTGTCTTGGGGTGTGGGGGAGACTGCTGCAGGCCTGGCTGCTAAGCTACTGTGTTCCCACTTACCAATCAATCAATCAATCATGATTCACTCAGGGACCAGCTTAATACACAGGACCTAGCTACTACATAACGACCTAACCAGCATCAATTAGCACCTACAAAACCAGGCTAAGGACAGGAAAGAATCAATACAGACAATCAACTGCCCCAAGACAGACACAGTCTTGGCAGGAGTTTTGTCTGTCAGCAGCTAGGGGTGCAGGGCCCCAGACCCCCCTGCACTGATCTCCTCAACAGCTGGCAGGCGTCATGGCCTCAGCAGGGGCCACCATCCCTGCAGCTGTCAGTCCGCTGTGTCTTAACACACGCAGTGTCACCCATGGCACGAGTTTTGCTTGTCTGCAGCTTGAGGTGCAGTTCCCCCCAAACCCCTGCACCGATCTCCTTGAAACTTGGCAGGCTTTGTGGTCTCAGTAAGAGCTACCACCCCTGTAGTTTTTACCCCCCTGTGTTGTAACACACAGCCGTGACATGAGTTTGACTTTCAAGAAAAAGTTCCCTCCAAACCCCTGCACCGACCTTCTTGAAACTTGGCAGGTTTCACACTCTCAGCAGAGGCTACCAACCCTGCAAGTTTCATCCAAATCAGACAAAAAAGTTATAGATATTTAATTGATTTCCCCTTATACCCTATGGCTGCATCTCCGAGGCGGCTCTGAAGCTTCAGAGCCACTTCAGCCAGATCGAGGCAGAAACCTGGTCTGGAGCTCTGGATCGGATTGCGGCCATCCAAAGTGGATGGATCCAAAGCCGGACCAGGTCGCTGCCAGCCTGGATCTCTGCTCCATGCTGAGTAGCTTCATTCGAGCTGTGTATACTACGGAAGCTACTCATTGCTGGCAGCAAGGACAGGTGAGTGTAGTTTAACGGTTGGTCTGCAAAGTGTGACTCTTTTAGTGTGGATAAGTGGGAGCCACTAGGAAAGACCAGAAGTGAGCTAATCTGTTCCTGCCAGGCCTGATGGCTATTTCTGGAGGCAAGAGACAGCTTGTGGCATGCTGGATTTGTGCTCAGACACCATCCTCCAGCACAGAACTTTGAATGTAGATAGTCAGGTTTGTTGCCCTGGTTCCTGTGGCCACATACTTTAAATAGATGGGGGAGGAGGCTGCTAGAGCCCCAGCCAGTCTTGTAGAGCACTTTCTCTCAACTTGTGAATTACTCTATCTAATTCATTCTGCTAGTGTCTTGTGCCTTCCACTAGAGTGATGCTAGTTGAAGAAACTAGGCAGCGAGGAGAAATGACACAGTGCTGGGGAGCCTGGGTTGGATCCTGCCAGCATCTCCCTGGGCTGGCTAATACTAAGGCCAGTGGAATCCAAAATGTTTCAGCTAAGACTACAGCATGTTCACAGGCTCTCTGGGCTCAGTAGTTTTGAGAACAGTGTGGAATCAGAAAAAATATATGCCTTAAACTTTGACTATTTTAGTTATAAGATGACATAACCGCTTTGTGGAGAATTGCTGGCTCTGTATAGTAGAACAGATAAGAGAAAGTGTTTGTTCTTTGTAACTCCTCTGCAACTGCTTCGCTCACCGCGGCCTTGAAGATAGCAAAAAGTATGTACAACTGTGATTTGCAGGTGCAAGAAGGAGGTTTGTGAACTAACCTCGCCTCCCCCATTAGTTCCCATCCTGATTACAGCAAAGAAATAATGAAGTAATGTTATAGCCGCTTTTCATGCTAATTTCACTATATGATCACGTGAGTTGTAAGCAACTGTTAAAAAGTATATAAGCCTCCTGATTTTGCTCTTGGGGGGGGACCCCTTCCAAGTGCTTGGGAGATCCATGTCACTTTGGAGTCCCCCCTACAGCTGTAGTTTCTTTTGAATAAAAGCTTCTGCTGACCTGACCCAAAAGTATGCTGCGTGTGTTTCCACGACAACAGGGAGCCAGCAGTTCTTGGTGTTACCAGAGGCAATGAAGCCAAGCTATGGGCTGTGGGTCCTCAGTGTGCATGTGGGCTGTCCTGGCTCATGCTGGCATGGAGACATCCTGGCTGGGCAATAACTGAAGAGGTGAACCTAGTGCTGTTGCTGATGTCAGTATGTGGTGGGAGCTCCCCTGTCTCTCTGCTGTAACACTTGCACTCACTTGCATTCTCCTTCCTAGGAGCTGGATCTTTTGCCAGGGGAACCCAAGTGGCTGGATGTGATCGAGCGGGATCTCCATAGGCAGTTTCCATTCCATGAAATGTTCGTTTCACGGGGAGGCTATGGGTAAGTGGGGAAAGATCTCTCTGGCACCCAGTTAGGTCTTTGCAGCATCCATAATGCCAGGTGGCTGATCCCTGAAACTAAGTCATGTTGCACCTGCCCAGCAGATGATACCCTTGAGGCGTGGATACCTGAAGAGTAGACCCAGAAAAGAGATTGGGTAGGGAGAGCTCCTGTCTCCTCCAGCTTCATGCTGGCTGCCTCCTGCCATCTCTCCCACCCAAGTGTTTATGCAGACTATCTGGCTCTGAAAGGCCTGGCTTTGCTGAGGTGGGAGGTAGGGGGAAGGGAGGTTACCTGGCAATATGCTAGGACCAAGCAGCAAGAAGTGCCTGCTCCCGCCCAGTGTGGAACAGAAGGGGATTGTGTGTGGCGGTGGGAGACACCGCTGGGCGTGCCTGATTTGCCAGGTAACCAGGCATGTCCTGAGCTGCATTGCTGTGCATACAGCAGCAGGCCCAGGCATGTTGGATGAGAGTGCTAGACTGGGCCACCTCCAGTACTGAGTTCAACACACTCCCTGCCCGCCCTTGGTCTCTGGCACCGCAATGACCAGTTCCCAGTAAACCCAGGTGCTTCTTCCCGCTCCAGGAGAAGGGAGCATGTCAGCTGCTGAGTCAGCATTCTCCTCGAGAACAGCAAGGTCAGGAGTCTGTGTTCAAGTCCCTGGATTAATCGTGACTAGCCTTGTTGAAGGACTCTGCATCAGAAGATTATGGCAGCTAAGAAGGCCTTGTATACAAATGAGACTAGGAGCTCCCTGGGCAGTCACTGCACAGATCAAAGCCTTATTGTGTGGCTGCAATTGTATCTGTAGGGCCCCTCTTAGTAGGTGCTGTTCAAGTGGAAAACTCTGCCCCCACAGGGTTCTCAGTGCAGAGACTAAATCATCTTTGTGAGGAGGGTGGGAAGTGCAAGGAAATAACGGGATGCCTGTGACTTGTGGTACATGACACCCCAGGCGCTAGACTGGTGAGAGGTTCTGTTTGCATCTTGGCATGGGTGAATTTTGAGTGTGATGGCCCAGAATTGTCTGGAGAAGCCTGCCTGAGATGTATCCTGCTGTGCTCAGAGGTCTCTCCATGCCAAAGCAACCTGAGTGCATTTGGCCTGTTTGAGGCCCAAGTGCTACTGCAGTTGTGCTGAGACAGGGACTAATGTCATCTGGGCTAGAGAGCTCAGGCCCTGTCGGCTGGGTGGAATTGTTGGCCTAGCTCCTTCAGCCCATCTCAAAGACAGGAACCTCAGCAGTAAGTCTGTCTATCTAGCACAGTGCTGGGATCTACCCAAATGCTGATGGCAGAGCTTCTGGCCCCCACCTCTGAACAGTGACCTGCTGAAGTAGACTTCCCTGTTCTAGGTGCCACTGGAGTGCTTTGCTTATACGGTGTATTTGCCATTGGTCTTCCCACTTAGGGACCATGATGCAGGCTCTCTTCCTTGGGTCTGCGTCTTAAGGCAGAAGCTTGTGTACAAGTCCCGTGCTGCTGCCAGTCCCTTTCTCTCTGCCTCTGAATTGGCCCATGCTATTTCTCTACAGGCAGCAAGACTTGTTCCGGGTGCTGAAAGCTTATACGCTGTACCGGCCGGAGGAGGGCTACTGCCAAGCCCAAGCGCCCATCGCAGCTGTCCTGCTCATGCACATGCCTGCTGAGGTAGTGAACATGCATGACTTATGTGATAACCATCAGAGCTGTGGGAGGGCAATGGAGATGGAGACCATCCCTTGGGATGGAGCTGTGTGTGTAGGGGTGGGGGAGCTGGATCTGGACTGGAGCAGGCATGTCCCACTGCACTGTCTGTACTAGTTCCCTTCAGTTGACTCATTCTGGAAGGGAGCCCAGTAGAACGCAGGTGTAAAATGGTGGCTAAGGAGACGGAAGGTGGAGCAGTTTTGGAAGAAGATGGGAGGGCAGAGTGCTTTATTTAATTTTCCTCATGAGAACCTGTTCCTGTGTGCGAAGCGATCTTCTTGCAACCCAAAGGAGGGATCTCTGGACACAGTGGAACCTCTTGTTTCCCATATGATTTCTATGGGGTTTGGCTTTACTGCAGCTTTGGGTTGGTGTCCTGCCTCCCTGGAAGATGCTCCAAATTGATAGGATAGAGGAGTGGTGATTTGCTGTAATTTAAAACTCTATTGAGAAGAGGGACACTTCTGGAAAGCAGCGGAAGGCTCAATCCTACAGTGAGGTGGGGAGTTATCTTCTACCCATAACAGGTCCCTAGACATGCAGGTTGAGAGTAGAGGGTAAAATCTTGTTCTTGGGAAGTTTATCCTTTTATGTTCAGCCTAAGAAGCAAATTATCTGAGGAATGTATTGGTGCCCCTCTCCAAAGCAGTGGTGTGGTAGGTCTGATTTTTCTAGTATGAGCGTTTCTGTGGCTGTCTTTGTGTTTATCCTCAGTTGGAGGAAACCCAAACAAATGCTTGGCCTTGGCTGGTGACCTGCACCACTGGGTTACTAGATTTCAAACTATTGGAGAGGCTTTCTCCTTAACTAGGCAGGCAACGGGCAACCCCTGCACATTCCAGATTTGAGGTCTTCTTTCTGCAGAACTCAGCATTGTAGACAGCTGTGGGGCTGCTGCTTTCTTGTGCTGCCAGCATGGATTGTGGAGGAGGATTCTTCTGCCTCCAAGTTATGGTAGTGCAGTCTACTAGATGGAGCCTTGGGAAATCTGGATCGCTTTCCTGGCCCTGCTAGTGATATTGGGCAAAACTCTTGGCTGATCAGTGCCCCAGTTCCCCTGTCAATAAGTGGTGATGATACTAAGTGACTTTGTAAAACACACTGAGATGGATGTGGGGGTTAAGACCTCTCCTGAGGAGCCATCATATGTGCCTGTAGACTAAACCAAAAGGTGCATAGTATTGCATTCCCTGGGGGCTTTCATCTCTGAACTGTTTCAAACTTGTAACTATCAGTAGAATGTAACATGAGGACCTCGAAGGTGCTGAGCCTGTAGTTGCTGCTAACATGGGTGGGGGCTGAATGCCCAGCACCATGATACTGGGCTTGGGCAAGCTGGGGAGGGGGATGGTAAAGTCCCAGCTCTGTTGCTCCATTAAAGTGGAGCTTCCTGCACCCATACAAGAGTAGGGGAAGGTGTTCTGATCAGACTTGGCCCTGCTACTTTTCTTGGTTGTGTGGGTCCCCAGGTCCAAGTGCTGGGGGAGGGAGTCTGCATAGATGCTCTTGCCCATGCTGGGGTATGATTAATGGCCTTGAGGGGAGCAGCCCTGGCAAGTGGGATTGAGGCGATCTCTGGAACAGCAGGGCTTGTACAGCCGTGATGACAAGCATGTGAGTAAGTCTTGCAGCGAAGTGGCTGCGTGCTCAACCCTGTCTCTGGGCTGACTCTGTTCTCTTGCAGCAAGCATTCTGGTGCCTCGTGCAGATCTGTGAGAAGTACCTTCCTGGCTACTACAGTGAGAAACTGGTGAGTGAACAAGGAGTCCCAAACACCCTTTAGCTCTTGAGGCCTGTCTGGGATGAGCTAAACCCTTCACTCTAGGTGGTGGAAGGCACCATCTCTTGGGTTGGAGGCTAGTTGACTTCTTCCTGGGGCATTCCTTGCTAACTATCAAGATCCCATCTGGCCAGCCTCTGGCCCCCACAACTTATCTGTGTCCTGCTGTCATTCAGAAACAGAATTTGAGGGATGCTTGAGTTAAAGCAGCATCCTGGAGCAGTGACTTTTTTGTTGCCTGTTTTCCTAGCCTCTGTCTTCCTTCAGTTGGGTAGTGCAGTTTGGGCCAGACTTTTTTTCTGACATTGGCCTGTGTGTATTGTGGGGGAAGAATCAGGGGTTGGCACTAGCTGTGGTCACTGTCAGCAGGATTCAATGCCTATTTCAAAGCATGCCAACACCAAGGCTTAGCCTACAGTAGGAGTGCAGCTTCTCACCCTAGAACTGCATGGGTGCTGCTCAAGATGGCTACAAACACTAGCCCCCTATCAGCACCCCCACTGCAGCAGAACTGCACAGAGGTCAGGACTGTGGGAGAGGAACTTTCCAGTGCATTTCACTATATATCAGAGTTTTGACCTGATGGCTTGAGCCACTGGGCTGGGAGACCAAACTCCAAGACTCCAAACTCAGCCAGACTCCTCTTTGGCAAGTTTATTTATTTTTGGTTATCCATTTCCCATCTGGAACACAAGGGAAATCACTTCCTTTGGCTTGCCTGCCTTGGAAGCAGTGAGTCTGTTTCCCCAGGTACTACAGTGGGGTCCTGGTCTCAGCTGAGGGCCCTTGAGCACTCCTGTACTCCAAGGAGCTTGTGCATCCAAGGAACATCTGTCCCATCCCACCCTGAATAGATCAGATCCTGATGGTTGGGTTATATGGGGTGATGAGGGAAGTCTGGTACTCTGCCGGGGAATCAAAGAGCAGCCGAAGGCCTGATGGCAGCCCTGATAAGTGACTGCCTTACTGGTCTGCACTGTCCATGCTGTAGTGTCCTCTTCTCTACATGGCAGAGTCCTTTACCAGCGTTTGGATGCTGCAGCCTCTGATTACTGGTTAAGCAGGGAACAGCCCCCTCACGCTCTGCACTGGATCCTCTAGAGCAGTAATGTCTGTACCAAAGAAATAAGCAGAATGTTTATGCATGTCTGCATTGAGACCGAGCGTTGGACTTCCCTGAGGTGGGCCCTAAGAAGTCTATGGCTTAACTAGCCAGTCTGGAGCAGTGAGTGCACATCAGGGAGTTGGCTCAGAGGCTTACAGTAGCAGAGTTGTGTGCGCAACCTCAGTGGAACATGAACCCTATTCCTTGCACACCTGAGCTCTTTTTATTTGCAGCAATAAAAGACTGTGCTCTCAGGAATGGATTTTGCTTCCGCTCAGCTGGGAGGCCTGCCAGTCACCTCTGGCCCTGTCCAGCCTGGTGATCTCACCCAGCCTGCATTGACGCTGGCTTCAGGGCAGGCCCAATGGGAGCAGGGGTGCACTGGACTCATAATTGAGACAAGGACTGACTAGCCATCCTGACTTTTTTTTCTCTTTTTTTTTTTTCTCTCTTTCTTGGGTTGCTCAAACAGCCATAGTTCCTTGTCAATGAGGGCAGCTTTTCTGCATGATGCTGCTCTGGGCGTGGGATATTCTGCAGTGGAGTGAAGCTGACTGGGGAAGCTGGTACTGGTAGATGTCTCTGGATACCAATCCAAGGACTAAACTCTTGATGCGCAGAGCAGGGCAGTGGCTCAGGCCCTGGGCTGGGATTCCTAAGAATGCAAGAACTGCCATTTACTAAATCAGACCGCAGGTCCCTCTTGCCCAGCATCCTGTGTTGCACAGTGGCAGATAGTGGATGCTGAAAGGAAGAGTGAACTGGGTATGACTAGTGTTTGTTCCACTCTCTCACTTGCAGCCTCTAGTACTTAAGGTCTAGGAAGTTGATTCAGAAGCTGTATCCCAAACTCCCATGCTCATTAACTATCGATGCACCTTTTGCTCCAAGAATTTGCCCAGTCCCTTTTTGAATCTGGCTAAACTGTCAGCTTCCGCAGCATCTGGTGGCAGAGTTCCACACTTCAATTGCGCCCTGTGCGAGAGAACTTCCTTTTGTTAGTTTTTAAATTTTCTACCTTCTCATTTCATTGTGACCTCTAGTTGTTAGATTCTGGAGATATGGGTTCAGTTCCTGCCACAGGTTCTTTTTGTGATCTTGGGCAAAATGCTCAATACCAGTGTGCCTCCTTTTCCCGTGTTTTCAATGAGAGGATAATAACCCATGTGCTGCGGCTGCTGGGCCCTTGGATATCTATGCTGGGAGGGGGGATTGTATGGGATACTTAGATGGCACAAACTATTCTACTACTATTAACCCTTGTTTCCAGGGTAACCTGTGATCCCCATGAGGGATCACAGTAAGGTCAGATCTTGTCTCACCCATGGTGCCTAGTCTGGGATATGCGCACACCAACGGGCTGGCTATGCCCGTGCCTTTAAATGGGAACTCTACTATTAGAGACGGTAAATCATTTAAAATGGGACCGTGCCTTGGTTGCTGCCAGTCTGAGCCAGGCTTGCACCCCAGGCTGGTGTTGGGGAGTTAAATAACTTCCTGCCATTCCCGCTTTCCCTATGGTGTTAGTGCCTATAGTTTCAAAATGGGTTGCTCCTGCCACACATCCATGCCTTTTCCTGAAATGCAATTGGTTCATTTCCCAGCACCATCAGTCCAATCCCCAAGAAGATGCATAGCAAACTAAAATCCCTAGCCCTGCACTACAAACTCTTCTATGCTTGTGCTGTGCTCTTCCTCCCCTACTCCCCAGCCATAGTGTGCTCACACCTTCCCAGCACCTCCCATGGTGTGGATTTGAAACACCTGACTTGTCAGGGAGGTGGGGGCTTGTGAGAAAATTTAGAGCCCAGAAACTGAATTTAATTAGCAACCACTTGGCTGCCTCAACTAGAGCAATTGCATCTGGCTGCCTAGTTTGGGTTCCTCCCCTGCCTGGCTTGGCTGGATGTGGTGGTAGTAGGTAGCACTGCATTGAGAAAAGGACACAGTTGGCCTGTAGGGTTATGGTCCCTCTTGGTCCGTAACCCTGCTTACTCCCCTGCAGGAGGCAATCCAGCTAGATGGGGAGATCCTCTTCTCGCTGCTGCATAGAGTCTCTCCTGTGGCCCACAAGCATCTGAGCAAGCAGAAGATTGACCCAATCCTCTACATGACGGAGTGGTTCATGTGTGCATTCTCCAGGACTCTGCCCTGGAGCTCTGTCCTGCGTGTCTGGGACATGTTCTTCTGCGAAGGTAAAGGGATGAGGAAACCTTGGGTGGCATTGGGGAAACAGGTTTTTCATCCCTGTTAGCTGATGGGATGGCATTGCTGGATTAGCCAGCCTGGACTTGAGTACAGCTCTGCTCTGAGTCTGCTCTGAGTGAGTCACTAGAGGGTGGTGTTCCAAATCGGGGGACCCGACCCTGTGGCTGCCTCTGTCCCATCTTCTTGCTTGCCCTTGGGACTATTTGATGTCCTGAAGTCTTTGCAGATTTCCGCTAAAAAAGTAGGGGCCACCACTGGGCTTGGGCAGCCAGTGCCTTAAAACATCAACAGAATATCTTGGGACATCAAAAGAGAAAACAGGGCATGCACGTGCAAGGTCAAAGGGCCAAAACAAGTGCCCCCAGGGGGGACACCAAGCAGAGCACACCAGGCAGCACCCACCGGCTCTCTAACAGAGAGAGAGTGCTGGTGGCTACCGCCCAGCGATGCTCCGCCCAGAGATGCACACGAAGGACATTGAGAAAAAACGCCCCGAGGTCACCGGGAGCCTTCCCGGCCAGAGCCTCCCTCCTGGATAGCCAGATGGATTGAAAAGGTGAATCCATGTCCTGTGTTGGGAAGAGCACCATGTAATTACCAGTCCGTAGACACAGGACAGTAATTGTCCAGCAGAAATGAGAAGCTGCTCTGAGTAGGTTCTTTTATACTGCCTTACCACTACTTGGTGGGAAGGTAGGTAATAGCCTGTATGCCTATAGCAAATCATTGCCTTGAGATAGAAGTGAACACATGATACTCTTGCATTACTGTTTTCATCCCTGATTTTTACTGTGCTCTTTGCTGCCATTTCAAACTCATGTTGGACTGGATACCAGCTTTTGGAGGGTGGTTCTGGTCTGACCTTGGAGAGGGCTTGGGATAGGTACTGAAGAGAACAGTCCTACCCTGAAATGCAACCTCAGGCCCTGGAGACCTGACTGCAAAGTTGCTCAGTTGCTAACTAGTGCACGAAGGCATTGGGAGCCCTTAGCACATCAGTGCTGATCCAATTGCAGTGGAATGGCTTGCAGATAGCTCTTGAGATTATGTTCATGGAACAGATGCTCCATTGAAATGCCTGTTATGCTTTGTCTCTGGTTGGGCTCAGCCTTGTATCAGGTAACAGGTATGACACTGGTCTGCAGTAAAAGGGTTTTCATGCCTTCCTGGTTGCAAGTGGGGCAGAAGGGCACACAGTTCAGATTTGGGAGTTGTAGCTGCAATTAGGGCAGGAGGCTGTTCACTGGATTCCCCCCACCCTCTGTCTCGCTGCCTAATGGCCATCTCTGTTTCTGTGTTGAGAATCCCACTTGAGATCAAGCAGGCAGCTTGCTAAGGCCAAAGGCAGGAATCCTCCAAAGCTGGCCACAGTTCCCCTCCCGGGCATGATCTGGTGAAGCTGTAGGTTTCTGCATGTAGTACTGTATCCTGCAGGCTCCAAAAGCTACCCCTGTGCAGGGAAGAGGAGCTGCTGTGGGCTGCACCTTCCAGCTCTGGGTCATGGCTAACCTGGCCTGGCAGTGGCATCCTGCTTCTGGATCTTGCGCACCTCAGGGCAGAGGAGGGGTCTAGTTGCTGGGACCTGGACACGTGTATCTTTGGGCACGACAGGCTGGTACATCACTGTTTTTCTGTAGGACAGACGCTAATAAATTGGTGGCTTGACTGTTCTAGGGGTGAAGATCATATTCCGGGTTGGCCTGGTCCTGCTTAAACACACGCTTGGCTCCTCTGAGAAGCTCAAGTCCTGCCAGGGACAGTATGAAACCATGGAGAGGCTGCGGACTCTGAACCCCAAGATCATGCAGGAGACTTTCCTGGTGCAAGAGGTGAGGAGCCATTTCCTGGAGACATGCAGTTGGGTTGGGAAGTGGGAGTAGCTCTGGTGTCAGAACTGTATCCCACAGTGCTGTGGTCTGAGGTGGTGGCCCTAGCAGTAGCTAGGTGGGAACCTGCTTCTCTTGGCAGAATCCAGGCCTTAGCACCTCTCCCCAAGCACAGCTTGGTTGGCATTGCCCACTGGAAACCCTGAGGGGTTGGGACAGTTGGGAGGGCTTCTACCTTTTAGTTCATCCTGCTGCTGCTCTCTGCTTTGGCTCCTTTCTCCAGCAGGTGAGGGAGTGCCAGGCTTGCCTGTCCCCTTCTCTTAGTAATGGCAGGTACCAGCAGGGCTTCTGGGCACATGGTGGAAAATCTCCAACCCACACACCATACGGGGCACAGCCTTAATTGCCCTACATCCTGCCCTAACAGACATCTGGATAAAGGCAAGTGGAGAGCCTGCCTTCTTGGGAAGCCTGGAACAGAGTTGGTGCCTCCAGTCCGCTGTGGCACTCGTGGTGGCTGGCTTGCAGATCAGGGCACTGGAAGTGAGAACTACAGCGAGTCACTTGGGGAGGGGCTGGGGCTGGAATAGGTGTCTGGTCAGTTGAGAGCCGTGAGCTGTTGGGAGACCCGGGGTGGGGTAAGAGGTGCTTGTGAGTTCCTGTCTCTGGCTTGGGGAGTTTCAGGTCTGGAAGCAAGTTGTAAAGGCCTCCCCACAGATCATGGGCGGTGCTGCTTTTTAGTGCAGTACTGCCCTCTGGTGGTAAAGGTTTTTGGTTAACAAGTGCATCTTTTCCCCTTTGGTACATACCTGACTAAAGTTCAGAGATGCTAGGAGGGCAGAGCATGGGGACACCAGTCCAGTAGGGAACAGCCTAAGGCAATGCAGCCTGCAGGAATTACTCTTCTCCAGGTACTACCAGATTTTATGCTGACCATCCTTCTGTATAGCTCTGAATTGTTCCCTCATTGATCCAAGTCTCCAACTCCATGTGCTGGGCTGCAGTGAACCTGCAGTACAGGGGTATAGATTTTTCCAGGTTGAGAAGATCTTCCCAAGGACCAGGCTGCATAGACAGTTATGCTCTGGCCTGTTTTTGCTGGCTGGGAAGGGCCTGCCTAGAGGTTTTGATCTGACAAGCACATGCTGTCTCCTTTCCAGATCATAGAGCTGCCAGTGACAGAGCGGCACATTGAACGTGAGCACCTGATCCAGCTGAAGAAGTGGAAGGAGACTCATGGGGAGCTACAGTATAAGTCTCCCCCACGTTTGCATGGGGCTAAGGCCATCAGCGAGGCGGAGCCACACTCCCACCAGGCCCTGGGGTCCAGGCCTTCCATCATCCTGCCAACCGATGCCCTGGTCCCATCCAAGGGCAACAAGAATAAGCTGCAGAAAGAAAAGAAACAGGACAAAGGGAAAGACAGCCCCGGCAATGGGCTTATCCCTAAGGAGAATGGCACCCCTGCCTCCCCCGAGCCCCAGACTCTGCTGAAGCATCCTGAGGCCTCCCCACATCACCAGTCAAAGGAGAGCCTGACCTCCCGGGAGAGCGAGGACACCTACTTGTAACGGGGATCTAAGCACATTTTGTGAACACCTGCCTGAGGGTCTGGGTACACTGTGCCACAGACCAAGAGAAAATATACGTTCCCTGCAGCAGCCAAGGGAGGGATGGGGGGGTTGTGCAGGGACCCTGGGGGCCTCTTCTGCCACTGGTGGGACACGGGTCTCTAGGCACGAGGAGACTTTTTTTTTTTTTTCCTTTCTTTTGAGTCTTGAGCTTTTCTATTTATTGTCTGGCAGGGTGGGAGGTGGGGCAGTGTTGGTGCAGCTTGCTTGGTAGGGGCTGCTCAGGTCTCTAAACAAAGGGCTATAAAGTTGTAAGCATCTGCCCTAGAGAGCCCTGCAAACTACCACCTCCTGCAGGGAAGTGCCGATCTCTGCTGGATTCTGTGCAGCCACTGGTTTGGTCCCAGGGGCTTTGCATTGGCTGCTCTGCCAAGGAGCTGGCTGACATGTTTGAAATGAAGCTCGTGACTCAACCAGAGCCAAGGATGGGGCAGAATCACTCTGGGTCTTGGGGCCTGCAGCACATGGCACCTCAGGGATGAGGGGCTTGAGAAGGAGTGCACAGCAGGGTTGGGCTCCTGGCTGTGCCTGGATGCTGCTTCCTTCCCCCTTAGGCTGAGCATTTGGCTCCTTCCCCTATAAACAGACAAACCTCTCCTCTGAGCTGGCTTCTCTCTCTGGTGAAGATGCCTCTAATGGTCACAGCTACCTGGGACTCTGGGGAAATTTTGTCTTGGTTAGTCCAGTCCTGGAACAGAGGCTGGATTGGAGCAGTGTGTACTTGAGGGTCTAGAAGGAGCTACTCGGGGCCCTGGAGCTGCATGCAACATTTTGGGCTACCTTTGGGAGCACCGAAGCATCTGTGTTCCTTTCACCTTTTCCAGCTCTGTATTGCAGGATCTGCTTTGTATTATCCAAATGTATGAGCTGGAAAGACTCTCCCAGCCCTGGGAAAGACAAGTTTGTCAGGAGTTCTGTAAAGATGGAGAGGAGGGAAGAAACAAAGCAATGCCCCATTTCCCTCCCCTACTTCTCCATTGACATAGTGAGGGTGTATTAAGCTATATCTGAACATTTAACACTGAATTTATATATGTCAAGGAGCTATTTATTTTTTTTCTTATGATAACTAAAAAATCCCCTGTCCTTTGTATTGTCTGAGTTTGTGTCCTCTATAGACGCAGTGCAAGGACCATATATAGTCATGAGAGCAAGGGCTCTTCAGTCCCTGTGTAAAAGCAGTGTTTGAATTGGTCACAAGTATGGTGCTTTGTTTTTGTTGGGGCTAGCCCTTCCCAAGAACACTAATATTACTTTCAGCTCAGCCACCAGGGTAGATTAGTCTGAGCAGAGCAGTGCTGGCTGGGGTCCTGTTCACACCAGGAGTGCTGTTCCCTGTGTGGCATGCCATATGCTGTGCTGGCAGTGCTGTTCCTGTGTGTGCAGCTTAACTGCCAAAGCTAGGTTTTGTCCTGCTGTAGCAGACTTCCACCTTTTCCCAGCAAAGAAGCTTTTTCTGTGGTTGTGACCTCTATACTAGAGGCTTCTTCCACACCCACTCTGCACATGACTTCTCTTTGCACCCCTGCCCCATAGGGCTGTCAGCCCAAGACTGCAGCACAGGTGCTGCGTGAGCTGCAGCACCACCTGTCTGTTGAACCCCCTGAACTTGGGAAACGCATGCATGTTTGCTGATGTATCTGTTTTTGGGGGTGGGAGGGAGCATGAATGCTGCCCATGGTATACCCCAAGCTTCTGTCCTCTTGCCCTCCTGCAGCCCTAGCTTGACCCCAGCAGGCTCCTGCCTGGTGTTTGGGATTTGCTTTCCCTAGTCTGCATCCATGATTCAGCTTGCCTCAGTGCAGCCCCTAGTAAAGTCAAGCTTGGGGAGCCCCTTATTTTCTTGGCAAAGGAGAAGAGGCAGGAACACATACGTTTACAGTTTGTTTCGTTAATTAGTTGCCAGCTGAGAGGAGTGGTGTCTAGGAACCTCCTTTCAATGCCCTTTCCTCCTTGGGTTGCATCTCCACCCTCCCTGAAGGTGGCTGCTTCTTATGCATTCCAAAGTGCAGGTGGGGAGCCTGGACACTGACTGGCCAGGGGGAGGGAGCAGCACAAGGTTTTCCCCAGAGCTGGGGAGCTAAGTGAGTGTCTCTGGTTGTCTCCTTCCCTGCCCCAGCCATGTTACACAGTGCAACCCCCTGGAAGGAATTTTCTTGTGTAAAATAAATCAGTAAATAATAAAGTTGAAATGGTTTTGTACAGAGAATAAACAAGCTGGGATTCTGTAAAGAAGCTGTGTGTTTCATTCCCTGGGGCTGCTGGGAGCTGCATCTCCATTTCCCAAGTAAAGGAGGCAGGATTGCTGCCTCATTCTTTTACTGTGGTGCTGGGCTTGCAGTTCAGTGTCGCCCTTGCCCTTTCCCTGTCTCAGCAGACACAAGGACGGCTCTTGTTAGTGCTTCAGAGCAGCTCAAATTTTTGTGAGTACCTCGGTGCCAGCTATGGCTTGTTGTACTGATAATCAGACTTATGAAGTGCCAAGAGTGTAGAGTCCAGTTAAATGCATTTAGAATAACTAATACTTGATTTCCAAGTGCTCTGAATTAGGAATTTGATGTCCTGTTCTATGTGGTCTCTCTCTGCCCAAAGCATGTTGCTTTCAGTCAGATTGGCATACCTGAAACTGGTCATGTCCCCTTCACAGTAGTATTTGAGTAGGTTGTTAACTTAATCTACCTTGTCCACTTCCAGGGGGGAGGGCAGTGTTTCTATCCCCATTGCACAGATGGAGAACTGAGTTACAGAGAAATCAACTGATTTGCCCAAGATCTCAGAGTCTGTGGCAGATCTCAGACTTGAAACTGCTGGACTAGCCTTCCTCAATTGGGGGCCTTTGATAAAATCATAGAAAAATAGGGCTAAAAGGGACCTCATGAGGTCATCTAGTCCAACTCTTTGCTCAAAACAAGATTGTCCCTGTCTAAACCATCCCATAAGTGTTTTTCTAACACATTCCTAAAACTACAAGCAGCCCTCTTGCACAACAAGGCACATTGCTCCATAACACCAAAAGTACTCTAACTTGCCACAGGTAAAGCAGTGGACCAAGGGCACTGTCAGTATCCTGCCACTGTAAGGGGTGCTCAAATACATTTGAGAAATAAAAGGAAGAAAACTGTCGTCCCTGACCCAGCTACAGAGGAAGGCAGCTCCCCTACTGTCCATGTGAGTCTGGTTGTGCATTAACATTCCTCCTTGATGCCAGATGTGGTGATCGGTCTAACTCTGAACAGAGGGCAAGACTCTATAACCAGGAACCTCGGAGTTCTCATCCCAGCAGGGGCATTGGCACACCTGTCAAAATCTCTAGCTTTGCCAACACCCAGTGCTTCTGAGGAAAGTGGAAAAAAACTCTTGTACCTGTAACATCAGGAGGGGAAAAAAATTCTTCCTGTCCCTCTGTGACAACCAGCAAAGCCCTGAAGCATGGGAAAAGCTAAACCTCCTCCTTTTGGCTCTGCAACTTGGGGTCAGCAAGCAGAGCTCTACATCACACCCTCTTAACTGGAGAGCTAGATCTTCCCTTTTTATATCTCCTCCATAAAATTATCCTAGCTCTTTTTTCATAAGTCAGTTGGATGTGGAGCTCCGCTGTATTCTGCTGTTGAGTATGGTGAACCAGGCAGCTGGAAGCTGCATTTGCTGCACCTCTTCTCTAAGCTCCCTAGCTGCAATGTGAGTATACCTTCCAGCCAGTGGGGAGCTGCCCCAGGGCCAGTTATCTGTAAACCGTGTCTGCTGCCACTGCTTCTTTTCCCCCTTCCCTTGGCTGTGGTGTGGGCACAGCTTCCAGCCAGAGGGCAGCTGTGCTGGGGCTGGGCAGCTTTCAGCTGTGCCTATAGTGCAGCTGGGGAGGGGGCACAGAGCAGGGAGAAGCAGCAGCACTGCTGATGCAGTTTGCAGATACCTGGTCCTGAGGCAGTTCCCCACCAGCTGCTCCTGTCCTACAGCCAGGAAGTGGGTGGGCTGTGAGGAGTGGTAGCATTGTGGGCTCAGCTCCCAGCTGCCTGGCTCTGGCATCAGTGCAGGGAAAGCCCCACACTGCTGGTATGCCCTGGCCCATGTTGGACTGAAACCAGGTTGCTCTGGCCTGTGGCTTATAAAAGATTGCTGGCCTGTAGATGAGGCCTAACCAGTGCCAAGCAAAAAGGTAATATCACTTCCCATGTCTTGTACATAATGCTCCTATTGCCCAAAACTGCATTAGCCTTTTTGACAGCTGCATCATGTGATCCATCAAGACACCTAGATCCTTCTCTTAGTGCTGGCATCCAGGCAGTTGCCACCCATTCTATATGTCATTTTGATTATTCTTCCCAAGGTGTAGCACCTTGCATTTCTCAGCATTGAACATCCTGTTGGCTCTAGTCCATCTTTCCAGTTTATCAATATCCTTCTAAATTGTGCTCTTGTCCTCCAATATAGTTGCAATCCTTCCCAGTTTGGTGTCTGCAAATTTGCTAAATTTGCTAAAAAGTTCTCTATTCCAGATCCAAATAATTAAAAGCATGTTGAATAGCACTGGGCCCAAAACATGCCCCTATGGGACTCCACTAAAAATGTCCTGCCATTCTGACCTGAATCCATTTATTATTACCCTTTGCTTACAGCTATCGAGCCAGTTGTCTATCCACCTTCTAGTAGTTTCGTCCAGCCCATACTTCTCAACTTGTTTATGAGAAGGTTGTGTGGGACTGTCAAAAGCCTTACTGAAGTTGAGATGCACCATATCCCCTGCATTACCTTCATCCACCTAGCTGGTTATTTTATTGAACGAGATCCTATATGACATGATTTGTTCTTAACAAATCAATACTGTTGCTTGCAATCAGCCTTGCCTCCTCCAGATGCTTGCAAATGGACTTATGATATGCTCTAGTAACTTTCTGAATGTTGAAGTGAGGCTAATTTGTCTATGATTCTCAAAATCTTCCTTTTTTCCCTTTTAAGAGGGGCACTGTGTTCGACATTTCCAGTCCTTTGGTACTTTGCCTGTCTCCCACAACTTGGTAAATATGATTTTCAAAGGCTCTGAGATCCTTTCTGCTAGTTCCTTCATTGCCCAGGAATGAAGTTCATCAGGCCCTGCAGCCATTCCAAATAACCTAAGCTAACAACAAGAGCTTGGTCCTGTGGAGCACATGCCACAAGTCCAGAAGGGCAGGGATTCTAGTTGCATCATGTTGGTCCTTGCAGTGCAGTCGGTTCTTCCTAACCTCCATTGGTTGTCGTACTGATTTGGCTATCAGGGGCCTTACACTCTTGAGCAGGGAAAATCTTGCTGCCTCCAGCGAAGCCCTCAAATCCACTAATGGGACAAAATTCAGGTACAAAACACTGAGCCTGAGGGAATCTCAAGAGAGCTGCTGCTGCCTCCTGCCAGCAAAAGCAGCCTCACCCCAGCAGTGAGCACAAGTCTCCAGGTGCAAGAGTGACTGCCACAGGAGTGAGAGTGGTAACATGTGGACAGAAGGACATGGAGGGGAAAGGCCCGGAAACCCCTGAGCCAAGGGGACAGTGTAGAGCTCCATGCCAAGGTGTCTGCCCTACCTGTACAGGGTGCACCAGATTCACCAACTCCTACCTCTACCCTGCATAATTTGTGGCGGGCTCAGTCCCCTCCAGCTGGAAAAGAGCTGGAAACCCTTTGAAGAGAAAAAAAGAATCTGGCAGCAGAAAGGGACTGGGAGCCCGAAGAGGGGCTGTCTCGGCAGAAGAGCAGGCAGGCACAGGAAGAATCTTCCGTAGCAAAGTGACTGACACTGGAGCTGTGAGGTGGTCACACCTGGGGGAACCTCACTGGGACACGACTGAGCCTGTCCCATGAGCTTAGTGCCAGTGCCAAACTGCCCTATGAAAAGGGTACTTACCTGGGAGGGGAAACACCATGTATCTGGGTCCATGAAGGCAGTTTTCCTTAAGTGTTCCCGGGGATAACTGTTCTTCTGGTGGGGTTTAGTACCCGCTGAGGTGTTGGGGCTTAAAGCCCACTTTATGAAAATGGGATGCTCCTCCCTAACTTGCTCCTGCGGCCACATGGCTGAGGGCAAGTGAAACGTGGGGGCATTCATACCCCAAGCCTCCAGGTTTGGGCCTGCATGTAGGATGCCTGCCAAAAGACTTTGGAAATATCTGAACCCCTGGTGGGGGTGGAGGATGTCTGCCAGTTGTAGGGCCACTTATGGTTCTGGACTGACTCACGGATTTGGACTTGATTTGGCTTGCAACACGGAAAATTTCTTTAAAAAAAAAGGGGGGGGAGGTCCCTGAGTCCTGTGCTCCCATCTAGTTGGGTTAACTTTAAACACTGCAACTGGCCAGCCCCTCAGGGCTCAGTTAGGAGCTGCTCTGTATCTTTTGCTGCGAATGGCTAAGCCTTTCAACCAAGGAATATCATTACTTTTGTGTTACAGTTTGGCCAGAGCAGCAGTCACACCCCCAGCAGAGGCCATGCTTCCACAAGAGCCCAAAAATAATGGTTGTTCATGTGTCTGCAGTTAACAGGGGGTTGCAACTTAGTACACCTTGGCTGCTCTACAGTAGCTGGTCTCTCTGACTGCTCCTGCCCTATGGTAAGTGAAGGTAGAAGTCGGGCCATTTAGCCTTGTTTCAGGCAGAGTTAAGCTGACCCAGCTTAGTTCTCATTGGGCACATCTATACAAGACTCTTTACGTGAGATTAGAGCTAATTACTGTGCAGTAAGTGTCACTATCTACACATGCAGACACTTACTGCACAGTAATTTGCTCTAATCACAAGTACATTTGCTACCTGTAAATATAAGTAGCAAATTTACTCTCAATTACTTACTGCTCAATAGCGCACATGTACATACCTGACCGGGAACACATTCACTCCCAGTCAGCCAGGAAGCAGGGGGCAGGAGATTGCTGTCTGCCCCCAGAAGCTGCCTGCTGCTGGGGTGGCCTCTGTCACCACAGCCTGGGAGGGGACAATGTCCCCCTGCCCTGGCAGCAGGGAGCTCCACGATCACAATTGGAGGGCCGGGGTTGGGAGATGTTTATCTCCCAGCTTGAGCTCCACCATCATGGTGGGGCCCAGGCTGGGTGATTCTTATATTCCAGAACCAGCTCCACAGTCAGAGGGCTGGCACTGGGCGACTGGTTCCTCACAGCCCAAGCTCTGCAGTCATGGAGCCGAGGGTGGGAGATCCTTATCTCCCAGCGCCAGCGCGGCGGTCACAGGGCCTGGGCTAGGAGATAAGAATCTCCCAGCACTAGCCCTGTGACCATGAAGCTTGTGCTGGGAAATAAGGATCTCCCATCCCCAGTTCCACATCCATCCCTGGCCCCATGGTCACAGTGGTGGAGCCGGGGTTGGGAGCTCCCTGCTGCCAGGGCAGGGGGACATTGTCCCTGCCCATGCTCTGGTGACAAAGCCTGTCCCAGCAGCAGGTGGCTTCTGAAGGCAGGAAGCAATATCCCAGCCCCCACCAGGAGACAGCTGTCTCCTAGCCCCATGCTCCCTGCTAGTCCCTGGGCTAGCGCTGCTGCAGGGGGCCAGTGCAGGGCCGGCAGGGGTGGAAACAGATTGCTTCCATGAACAGCAAATCTTCTCCCAAGCCCCTGCATGTGTAGACACGTGCCCAAGTCAGTTTACTCTAGAGTAATTTACTCTAGAAAAAACTGATCCTGCATTATTTGCATGCGTAGACCAGCTCATTGTGGCATAAGAACGAGCGTGGGGCCAATTACCATGAAGCAGCTGAGGAGCAGTGAGTCCTTGCCTCCTGTGAATTACGGACACATGGAGAAGTAGGGGCTATGGGGCTTGTGACCATAGTTAAGACTTGACTCCCTGTTTGGAAACTGCTGTGCTTGAGGCACTGATCAGGCCCTGTAGGGCTGGGGACTGTGCAAACACAGTGGAAAAAATGCCTCACAAAGAGCTTACAGTCTAGTCTGAAACCAGACAAACACTAATAGAGAAAATCTTACCCAACCAGCACAGGCAGACACTTGTGGGTAGCATGTATTACATTTCACATCCCACCCCTTAACTGCACCTCAGCCATCCCATTCACCCTGCCCAGCTCACAAGGATGAGCTTGGGCTCAGATGGGGGGCAGCAATAGAGACCGGGCAATAGTGCCCCACACCCTGCACCCAGCTGCTTCCCAAGCCCCCCTGTAGAAACTAACCTTTCAGCCCGCCCTGTTAAAGCTCATGTCAGCATGAAGTGAACTTGGGCTCATGAAAGTTTGTACTCTCTATATGCATCTTATTTAGTTAGTTTGTAAAGGTGTATTGTACATCCACCTTGCCTTCTGACTGACTTCAGATTAACATGGCTAACTACCTCTCAAAGCTCATGTCAACCATGTGTTAGCACTTGCTGGGTGAGGTGCACCAGGCATTACTTCTGTGCAGCCAAAGCAGTGCTTGCCATGCCTCTGTGCTGGTGCTCCACTGGGTAAGGTAGAAAAGTCTTTTATCTGTGCCTGTACATATGGTTGCATCAAAGCACTGCTTTCAAATAGGCTGCAGAAGGGTCTGTGCAAAAATAAGAGATCAAGCTCCTGGGGAAATTATCTTGGAGTTGAGGAACAAGGCCAACTTAACTTGTGCTTAGAGAGATCGGTAGCTGTGAAGGCAGACAAAGGGCATAGCAGGGAAGCACTTCAAAGTCTAGCTGATTCAGAGGCATAAACTTGTTTGTTAAGAACAAGGCCTAAATGAGGGATGTGGGGAATCTGAAGGACTCAGGTTACCCGTGATTTGTGGCTGCAGTGGCTGGAGGGGTCAGCGTGGGTCTTGTTTTAGACCATTTCAGACAAATATTTATTACATTCCAGGGGTCTAGATTGCAGGGGACTGGATTTGCTGGTCCAGGTGGTCCCTTACTGATCTACGTGTCCTTCTGCTAACATACGCAGGCAAAGGTGCTTCAGCAGGTTTATCAGGTATGACTTGTTATACATCCTTTTGGTTTCTCCACATTATTCTCTCCATCTCCTGCTGATAGGTGTAGAGGGATAACTGAATGTCCATGTCTTCTACAGCTTCTGTATAACAGATTGCTGTTACTGGTCTAGAGTTGCGCTCCCCACCCCCCTGTCATCTGGTCTGTCATCTAATGAGGTTGGAGCCTGAGAGAGAGAGTTTAAGAGGTGAGTGCTGGGGAGTAGCCCAGAGCTAAGATTGCTTTTCTATTAATGTCCAGAAAGGGCAGAGGGTTTTGGTTTGTTGTAGGTTCAAGGTTGTTTCGTGAAGAATTAAAATTGGTCTGAGAAAATGAAAGTGGAGCTGACTTGCCTGTTTAAGGCCTCAAGGTAAGGGACATGCTTATGGTCGTTGATGATGGGATCTGAGTGTAACTCCTCCAAGGTTGTTGCATTAGCCTTGTGCACATAAGTACAGCTACAGGCCCTGTAACTTTTTGGCATTCACATGAAGGATGATGCCCAAGTTGTTGTACACTTCTTCCCTAGGTCACTTTGTCTTCTGCAGTTTCCTTTTGTGACTGAATTCCTATTTCAGCCCAGTCTACGTGAATTTCCAAATGAAATTCCCCTGACTCCTCACAACTGTCCTTAAAATCTTCTGATAATGTTTATGAATTTCCATCCCAGCTCTGGCGAACACCTATGCGCATGTAGAGCCATGTCTCAGTGAAGCAAGAAGTGTTTCCCTCCCAGTTCAGGGAGCTCTGTCCGCTGTAGATTTCTGTGTTTTGGTCATCATGCCTATCTGGAATTTCCCATACAACAGGCAGAGCTTTCTTAGTACCACCCCACCACACTTTCTGTTTTCTCTCGGCTGCAGTTGTTTCTTCATCACCTTTAAAGTCTTCCAGGATTATCCGTTTGCTAGAATATTACCGACAGCTCCTTAGTAAATAAGTACTTGCAAATTTAGATGCTAGTCACTGAAACTTTCCTGCATCAGAGCATCCCCCAAGTATGACTATTCTTCCATCAGCTGATGATTCCACCGTCATGCTTACATGCTTACATGCATTTCCACTGTTTTGCTGGACAGGGTTCCTTGTGGGGTGTATGTGAGTTATGACTGCTAATTGCTGCTGACTTCCCCTGCCGCTGACTGTCACGGATTCCCTTTGCCAGCGGCAACTGGTGGCAGGGGAAGTGGCAGCAGCAGCTGTAGTGAAGAGAGGCATGAGAGTGGCCAGCCCTGCCATGGTAAGATGTAAACCTACAAAGCTTGGGACATGGTGCAGTAGGAAAGCCTGGTTCCTTTTGCAGAGGGCTGTATCTTGTTAATCTCAAGGCATCCCTCAGAAAGTGCCCACTCTTAGCTCTCATCTGTGAGAGTTTTTCAGGACAGAAAAAAAAGGAGCAAGTCTTCTGTTGGAGAGAACTCAAAAAGACTATAAAAAAGCAAAATGCTTTTGAACTGTGGGTTCTTATTAAAAATCTCTAGGTCTATCTTGACAATAATAAAGCAAAAAGGTGGTTGTTGTTGTTGTTGTTGTTTTTTCTGGTGGGGGAAGCAAGTCAGGAAGCATGAATGCCACATGCCTCCAGAGGGCATGGCAACCGCCCACTGATGGCAGCAGCAGTGGTGGGGGGAAGGCTGGCGAGCACCAACCGGCAGTCAGCAACCACCCACAGACTGGTGGCAGTGTCGGCAGCAGCCAGTGGCAATCAGGGACTGCCTGCAAATGCCACCGGTGGTGTCGGCGGTGAAGGGGGTGGTGAGCAGCAACTGCTTGCAGGCACTGCTGGCAGTGTTGGCAGTTCTTTTTTTAGGGGTACACTGCCAAGCTCACGGGGTGGACATGCATCCACGTGTACCCCCTATGCATCGCCAATGCCAGGAAGTGTGGATCCAAGCACTCCCCACCATCCCTCCCCATCAAATCTGTCAAGCACATAGCAGTCTTGAGTCATTTTCAGGCAACTGAAGTTTTACTGAACTTGTGTTTAGGAAACAAGGGAAATCAGTCACAGGTTACCCAACCCCTAGGACTCCCAACGTGTGGGTGCAAGCTGTGGCGGGCCAGTAGGGGGCGCTCCTGCGTTGAGCCGCCCACCTCCCTGCGCCCGACCACCTTCCAGGCTCCGAGTGCCTCCCTTGGGGTGCCTCCCGTCCGGCCAACCCCTTCCCTGGAGCACACCCGCTAGCCTGGGGTTCCCGCTGCCACCATCCAAGGCTCTGGACTCGCTTCTGGCTCTGTGCACCTTGGAGAACACAGGCCTGATCGTCCAATGGGTACTAGACCCAATACAAGCACTTGGGGCACTTCCCCAAGTCAGGGGCTTATTAGGAAGCCTCCCTTAGTCCACCGACCTAAGGGGCCTCCTTGGCATAATTTAGACCCACCCCTCAATAAGTTTCCCACACCGGTCACAAAGGAGAACTTTATTGATTACAGGGGTAGGGCGGAAACAGGGTAAAAGGTAGAGCAATATCATAGAAATATTACAGGAATATCAAAGGAATCCCATAGAGCAAACCAGGGTGGCGGAGGTAGCCGTTTAAACATGTATCTGGGTTACTGAAGCTAAATATCTGATCGGATCTCTAGAAGGTTACTCACTCGCATCATCCAGAGGTGCTTGTTGTTTCCTCTGGAGGCAAATAACCTCTCTGACCTCAGCAGCCGGTCCAATCGAAGCTGCCAATACTGGCTACAAACCAACCAATTTCCCAAGCATCCCTGGCTACCTGGGCCCGCGCGCAGGGCCGGGCCTTTCCCCCCTGCCCAGGTGACCAGAGCATCGCCTCCCAGGCGCCAGGCTTTTGTCATGCAGACCAGGTGGGAGATCCCTGCCGTGAGGGATTCAACAGCAGCCTCTCAGGCTGGCAGAGACAGATCTCTGGAGAGGGGCACCGACAGTGGCATTTCTGCCACACAAGCTGTACTTACACACATACACACTGAAGCAGGCTGGGCTGGGTGGTCACTCCCACCTCCTGATATTGGAGCCACAGCATTTCACGCACAGTTGTGAACCAATTCTGAATTGGTGCCATTTCGGAACATTCGATTGTTGTGTCTGGTCCGTACACCCAGTATTACTGGGACACCCCAGTGCTTGGCTGCACCTGCAAATCAGCTATTTAAATACAGGAACCTTGTCTAGGGTGGGTGGAGCCATTGACCTGCTGCTGAAGGTGCACAGACACGCTGGGCCATGCCATGTCCTGGGCATTGTCTGGCTTGACCTGGAAGCAGTTCCAGACTTTGCCTTTAGATGCTGTTTGATTGTGAAAGGCAAAGGGCTAGTAAAGAAAAGACATAGCAGAGTGCTTGAGGCTGCAGCTACAAGAAGTCATAACTTTCATCTCTTAGAGAAAATTACAGTCCAGTTTCCCCTGGATTACACAGGACCAGAGAAGTCTCTGAGCTGCTGTTAGTCAATCTGAACACCAGAAGTGGAAAGAAGCTAAAGGTGTTGCTGTTGACCTACAACACCAAGTGGGAAACGTCTTCTAGGAACTAAAAACTAGCCATTAATTCTGGAAGGAGACTAAGGTCTAAGCCCTATTTCACCTTTACTTGCCTATGTGGCACTTACCTAGCCATGTAACTGCAATTGTTGGGACTGGTATAGAATTTGAATTCTTTTTTCCAGCTGTGGTCCAATAAGATTGCCTGGGTACATAGCATGAGTATCTGTAGGAAGAAAGTGAGAGCAGCAGCAACCCTTTTTGCTTGTTAGCCCACTACCCAGGGCACCTTCCCAGGCACTGGGAAAACCTTGTTCTAGGCCCCCCTTCACCCAGAGGTGTTTTGAACCTCCATCTCCCACTTCCTAGTGATGTGCTCTGACTACTAGGCCATAAGCTAGGCACTGTGAAGAGCACAGTGTTAAAACTGGTCCATGGGCAGCCAGGAGAGGAAGATATGTGGGACCAGGGAAACAAGAGCAAGCTTGTGAGAGGGTGGCTCAGTGCAATGGATGCTCTCTTGGAAGGCAAGGCACCCGGCATTCGTTGGCTAAAGCAGATAAACAGGAGTGGGATAAACAGGTTCAGCA